AAGAACAGGCTCTGTTTGCCAGGGTCAGCAAGGACATATGAGAGGCTGGCAAAAGAAAGGAGACATGTGGTAAGTGTATAAATGCTGTCAACTAGCGAATAGAGGAGCAAAGCACAGTACCCTGCCTGTATAGATAACATACAAACAAAACAAATAAAACGAAAATTGTGCGCAAGTCACTCCAACATATAATCATCAATTAAATATAAACACAAAAACGTCACAATGCCTCAGAGACAACAGAGCATCACAATCCACACAAAAAAGCAAGATAAAGCAGGAGAAACAAGGAACCAAGATACAGACCCAAAACAGATCCCTGAAGAAGCAGCAGCATTGGAACTCCCTGATAAGGAATTCAAGAGAATTATCTTTAGGTATCTTCAACAAAGACAAAAAAAGAATCATGAAAGCAGCACAGGAAAAATGAAAAGTTACCTACAAGGGGCAACTAATAAGACTAAGTTTGGATTCCTCGACAGAAATCATGCAGGCGAGAATACAGTGGGAAGGTATATATAAAACACTCAAAGAGAAAAATTTCCAACCAAGAATTATGTACGCAGCAAAATTGTCCCTCAAATATGAAGGTGAAATTAGGACATTTCCAGATAAGCAGAAATTAAGGGAATTTGTTAAAACCAGACCAACCTTACAAGAGATGCAAAAGGGAACCCTTTGGACAGAGAAGCAACAACAGCCAACAACACACATGATGATATAACCAGAACCAACCCAGCATGGAAGTATCCAAAGTAAATAAGCCTACAAGATTGTAAACAGGGAAGCAGAGACACCAACCGACAAATGAGGACAACTACAATCCAAAAAGAGGGGAAAAAAACAATCTGTGTCATTACAGTTCTTCTAAATGGTAGGGAAGTCAAGACAAGTACAAGATAGAATGGATTGTTCTAAACTTGGGAAGAAAACTATAAATCACAGGGTAACCTCAAAGAAAAAATGATAAACCTTCACATCAAAATAAAAAAGAGGACCAGCATAAATATTCAGCAAATACTAAAATAATAGCACTGAACGAAGTGATAACATGATTAATAAACAAAATGAGCTCAGCATAGAAAATTATATGGAATAAAGAAATTGACACAAGGAAAAATTACATGACAAAAATGACAGCAACAAATTAATATTTGCTGATAATTACATATCTGGCAAGGGACTTATCTCTAAGATTGATGGAAAACTCCAACACCTCAACACCAAAGGAATTAACAATTCAATTGAAAAATGGGCAGAAGACATGAATATCCAAGGAGGATATTCAGGTGGTCAGCTAATATATAAAAAGATTCTCACAATCATTGGACATCAGAGAGATGTAAAACAAAACAACAATGAGATATACCATCTCACCCCAGCACTGATGGCAAGGTTCAATGAGACAGAAAATAACAAATGCTGGTGGGGATGTAGAGAGATTGGGACTCTCATACACTGCTTGTGTGACTGTGAAGTGACACAACCACTGTGGAAAGGAATATGGCGATTCCTTAGAAAGTTGGAATCGGAGATACCATTTGACCCAGCAATCCCATTACTAGGTATATATCCTAGAAAGGTGACAGCCAGGATAGGAACAGATACATGCGTGCTCATGTTCATCACAGCACTATTTACAATAGCAAAAAGATGGAAACAACCTAGGTGCCCATCAGCAAACAGTGGATGACCAAACTATGGTACATACACATATCGCAATGCTGTTGTTGTTGTTGTTGTTAGGTGCCATCGAGTTGCTTCTGACTCATAGCGACCCCATGCACAGCAGAATGAAACACTGCCCGATCCTGCACCAGCTCCATGATCCTTGCTATACTTGAGCCCATTGTCACAGCCACTGTGTCAATCCATCTCGTCAAAGGTCTTCCCCTCTTTCATAGACCCTCCACCTTACCAAGCATTACATCCTTCTCCAGGGAATGGTCCCCTTTGACAAGATGACCAAAGTAGGTGAGACAAAGTCTGGCCATCCTGACTTCCAAGGAGCATCTTGGCTGCGCTTCTTCCGGGACAGATCTGTTAGTTCTTTTGGCAGTCCATGGTACCTTCAGCATTCTTCGCCAGCACCACAACTCAAAAGCATCAACTCTTCTTCGGTCTTCCTTATTCATTGGCCAGCTCTCACATGCATACGAGGCAATTGGAAATATCATGGTCTGTGTCAAGCCCATGATATAGAATATATGTATATTATTATTATATAATATTATATTATTATAAAATAATATAATATATTAATAATAATAACATATTCTTAATATATAGAATAATGTAGAGTCTACTAAACACCGCATAATATGGATGAACTTGGAGGACATTATGCTGAGTGAAATAAGTCAATCACAGGAGAACAAATACAGTATTAGTTTGTTGTTGTGGAGGGTCAAGGAAAGGTTTATATATGGAGGGAAAATTTCTTTGTCAGTTGCCAGGGATGGAAGGGGAGGGGAGGGAAAACTGAAAAAAAAAAAAGAATGCATTGACCCATGTGAGTTTAGTTTTGTGTATTTCACTATACATAAATTATATTTCAATAAAATGGATTTAAAAAATGGTAGAGTGGCTACTAGGTCTGGGTCAAGATAACGGACCACTGAATGAGGCAAAATTATTCAATAATGTGGCCAAACATTCTCTTGTCCTATCCAAAATAAATGTGTATCATTGATTGAAAATTATCTCACATATAACATACTGCCTCTTGAAGAACACTTTGTTCTCAATCCTGTCCACTGGTTTACTAATTTTCATAGCTCCATTAGCTACTAATTTTGGATTCTAGTACAAATATAATCCCATTACTCCATGTGCTTTCAGACTTCATCATGTGAAAACCTTTTGGGGAGTCATCAAAAGATAAGATTATCTATCCAAGAGAATATAAAATCACAGCAGAGACACACTGATTTTAAGCCGTAAGCATAGCATACCCACACATTTTCACTAGCCTCACATCTCCTGATTTATCGAATTCTAAGAGATTATCTTCTGTATTATCCCAGAAAATGGTTGTTGAAAGGCAGTGGATGATGTATACAAAATTTGGAATCAGACAATACGAATTTTCAACCTGATTCTGTAACTACTAAATTATTTTGACAGGGAAGATTATGTTATATCTTTAATTCTGTGTTTCTTATCTGTACAATTGAGATGATAATCTCTCAAAATATTGTTGTGTCATATGGTCTTGCAATAATGCACCAAAGTGTTTAGTACAATATCTGTCACATGGTAGGCATATCATTTATGGTAATCCTCTTAACTGCTCCCACAACCTCCCACACCATGACTATCCTACACCTGTAGTCTAAGTTTTAACAGACTTTCCTGGCTTCCAGAAGGTCATAATCTTACAATATATTAGAAAATAGGTAATTATTGTTCTGAAAATTCTGCAAAGCAGCTGTAATTTCCTCAAAATAACAAAGAACATTCTTATTTGAAGAGTTTTAAACTGAAGGTTGTTGTTGTTGTTGTTGTTGTTTGCCGTCGAGTCAGCCCCGACTCATAGCGACCCCTCCTTGGGTTTCCGAGGCAGTATCACTACGGAAGTAGGATTGCCCAACCTTCCTTCCGAGGAGTGGCTGGTGGGTTTGAACCGCAGCCTTCTGGTTAGCAGTCAAGTGCTTTTAGCCACTATGCTACCAGAGCTCCAGCCGACTTCCAAATAGGTGGCCTGAGAGGGCAGCCTATGATAATTGTTATTTTCTTGTATATTAAATACTTCATCATTAATATTTTTTGGAGGCACCCTCTAAATGTTCTTTCACCACCACATAAACCTTAACTGTTTTTCCTAGTCTTCTGGATCCAGCTTATCTATATATGAAAAAAAAAAAACAAGATAGAAAATAGTGACATATCAAGGTTGGAAAAATTATCCTACAGACTAAGGTAGCCCGAATTTCACATATATATATAACTCACTGCCATTGAGTTGGATCTGACTCATAGCAACCCCTCCTTGTGTTTCCGAGGTGATATCACTAGAGAAGTAAATTGCCCAAACTTCCTTCCCAGGAGTGGCTGCTGGGTTTGAACCACCAGCCTTCTGGTTAGCAGTCAAATTCCTTAGGCACTATACCACCAGAGCTCCCATATATACATATATGTAATTATTAAATATTATATATCAAATATATGTAGACACACATTCCATAATTCCCAACAATCCTGCTACCAATTACCAATACAGACTAGGATTACAAGTAACTCTGAGCCTTTCTTACCTTCTCTGTAAAAATAATGTTTGGATTAAACAATATTTAAGGGCCTATATGATATCTTTCACCATACAACCTGTTGTTACATTTCACTTTGAGCTCTTCCAAGCTACTTGGTCATATGGCCTCTCACTCTCTAATTTGTTTCTCAATGCACAATATATACAGATCATTAAGAATCCAAGAACTTCCTCTTCTGACATTCAGAAGTGAGGAAAGAGAAAACAAAAGTTTAAACCCTTTGTTCTTTCCATTCTTTTAACTTGCTCAGGAAGTAATGTTTCCTATGTCATTCCACCAAGAACATAGGTTGTGGAGGCTACTGGAGGCTGAGAAGGCTTTGGAACTTTCAGGAAAGATAAATAAGTACAACTCCAAAGGTAAGGAGAGGTGTACGAATCCACTTAAGGATAAAAGAAAGAAAGAGCTAAAGAAACAATACCTTCCTACAGAGAACTCTGCTTTTGTGAGCTCAAGACTTCTCTCGGTCATTGTGTTCTACATTCAGAACTTAGGTGTCTGCTCCTCAGTTTGCAGTTCTCTTTCTCTGGAATGAAGCATAAAAGTCAGAAAACAGTTTAAGATTCTTAGGAAAATGAGATTAACTAAAAGATTACCTAAAAGGTGGAAATAGAGGGGTGTTAGACTATCTAGTGGAAGTCTCTCATTCCTGGATTTTTGAAGGAAAAGGAACTAAGTGAACCAGTTGTCAAGACAACCTGCTGTTGGGGAACAGGGGTTTGGGACAAGATGAATGAACTGTCATTACTCTTTCTTCTGCCCCTATCTCTAGCCACTTTCCATGGAGTCAAAGGTTGTCTTGAATGTGACCCAAAATTTATAGAGGATATTAGGACCTCTATTGAAAAACTGTTGCCCCTAGAAGTCCCTGGCCGAAATTATGTGCTTGAACGACAGTTAAAAGAGATGATCCATATAAATTCCAAAGTCTCCCATGGGGACAAGATGCTTCGGATATTGGGTGAGGGATACTTGAGTCCCTGAGAGTTTAGGGGTTTGAAAGCTGAAGGGAGCAGGAAAAAGAGCACCTGGGTATACAAAATTTTCTTCACATACATAATTATTCTCTCCCATGCCTTTCTCCTACCTCTCTAGATGTCCACAATGTTGTCCACTTGAGATCGTGGCTGAAGCAAGAATTTGAGAAACTGAGTGGTGGAAAATGGAAAGGTGAAGTACTGTCTCCATGTTAAAAATTAGTATTGCTCAAGCAAGTATAAGGAAAGTTGACTGGGAAAGGTAATGTAAAGGAACTAGGATTAAATTCTGGAGGCAAGGGCTACCTCTGTTTTCTGATATTTCTTCCACCCCCTCTTAGGTGCCTTTATCCTTCAAGGCAAGCTTCTTGAAGTCCGGCAAAACCTGGAATCCAAATTGAAAGAAACTTTAAAGACCTTCTCTGAAGTTGGTAATGAAAGATGCCTATCTAGCAACCTGAAGGGGATAGGAATTTAGGGGTGAGAAGAAGAGTGTACTTTCACATTAGGGTGATTTGGAATGGGTGAATGGATCACTGGAACTTAGTGGGTAACTAAATAAGGACTATTTTAGTGTAAATATAGTGACATCTACGTTTATGGGAGCTCATTAAAACTTTCTGATTCTTTTCTAGCTTGTTCTGAAGATTGCAGTGAGTACAGTACATGTGACACCTTGAGGTTTCAGCCCATATTTCCTATCTCTTTTGCTCTATATGACCCTATCTCTCTTATCTGTCACACTGAGAACCCAATTCCTATGGTTGTTAAGGGGAACTGCCAACATCTGACAATGAAATAGAGTTTATGAATTCTTGGTCATCCCAGATATTTAGGGGGTTTCAAGCCTCTTAAAGTATAGTTTGCAACCTATCACTCTGCTAAACGCTAAGGCATCATATTTCCCATATCTTCCCCAGAGATCTGACTTGAATCACACAGTTTTGAGTCATCAAAAATCTTGATTACTAGGGTAAGAGAAATTAACAGCAACATGACCTTAATAATAGTGGGAGTGCCTGAGATACAAACTGTACTTGATATCTAAGCTAAGATTCCCAATGGCCCCCTTATGACCATCTTCCTCCATTTCTCAGTTGTGACTGAAGGTCCCATTCTTGATTGCTGGACCTGTCTTCGTATCACGTCACATTGCTTCAGAGGGGAGTATTGTGGAGGTAATAAATAAAGATTTTGGTATGGCAGTTTGAAGGGACAGGGATGGAGGCATTGTATTGTCCATTGACTTACTCAACAAGTATTTGCTGATGAGCTCCTATGTGTCAATATTTGCAAAACACTCTAATGTTGTTTTTGTTTGTTTGAAAAAAGCTGAAATACTGGGCACATTTTGTACTAAGATGAATAACTTGGCACTGGGCCAGTTGAATGGCTGAGACATGAGACAATTAGAGGCTGGAATAGTGGTGGAGAAATAAGGCTACTGGCAGCAAGAGCAAAAGTTTTGTAGAGCCTAGTGTTCTTAGAATAATAAAGGAAGAGTAATGAAAGTTGCATATATGGCAAACTTTGAGGTTAAAAGAGTCCTCTATTCTGGGTAGAAGCCCAAGTCAGTATTAATCTTCTCCAAAACTCTCTTTCTTTTTTTCCCTTTTCAAAAGAGGATTCAAGGAAGGCTGAGAGGCGAGAGATTGCACTGTTTCTGATATTGCTGACAGAAGTTGTAGTATTTGGAAGCACTTTGTTACTGTGAGTTCTCTGTCTTCCACACAAACACTGAGTAAAGCTTACTTTTGACAAGGGGACCACCTAATCTCTGCCCTAGTGGAAATAAAGGGGGAAGGAGTCTACACAAAATCTGCCTATGATATAGATAATACTGAAATGGATGGAAGTTTTATGAGATAACAGTTGGGACATAAGGAGGAGGAATGATGAAACATAATGAAAACTTTTAAAAGTATCTAAAAATGAGTCCAAAAACAATATTTTAAAAGTTGGAGACAGATCTTGAAGTTGGAATTATCTTCTTTTTCTGTTCTAGATTCCATGTCTGTGTGTCTCATCGGAGGAAGATGAAGGCAATAAGAAGATCACTAAAGAAATATTTGGAGAAGAAACTTGAAGAATTAATGGAGATGGCAGAGGAGAAGAAAGGGAAAGATTTTGGAAACAGAAAATAAATATACAGACATAGACATGAGGTCTTTCATGACTCTCTTAAGTCTTTGCTCACTGTAGGAAAACTGAGAATCAAGTCAATTGCAGCCATAAATCCATAGTATTTTAGAATTGGAATAGAACATAAAGTTTATCTTAGTGAAGATCCTCATTGATACACGAGGCAACAAAAGCAATGATAAAGTATATCTTTACTTACTGATATTTTTATTTATAAGAGATATTGTTATAAAATTGGGATATCTGACATGAATGTTATAAATAGTTTGAAATGTTATTAATGTGGCAAAGCAGTTATAAAACTTTATTATATTCCTTATTTTCCACATCCTCAACAGTAATACATTGTACAGATATTATATCTTTTGCTAGTCTGATAAATATATTTATATCTGTGAGTAAGTCTGAGCATCTTTTCCGTGACATTTGAATTGACTCTAAATTGAATTGTGTAATCATATATTCTTCTGACTTTTATGAGTTGGTTTTTTTTAAAAAAAAATTTCAATTATAATAAGGTCTTTCCATAATATAGCACCATCATCAGTTAGTTTGTTATACGGTGGTGGCTTGCATGTTGCTGTGATACTAGAAGCTATGCCACTACTATTGTAGATACTAGCATGGTCACCAATGATGGATGGCTTTCAGCAGAGCTCCCAGACTAAGACAGCCTAAGAAGAAGGATCTGGTAGTCTAATTCTGAAAGAACTAGCCAGTGAAAACCTAATGAGTATCAGTGGAACATTGTGTGATAAATTGCTGGAGGAAGAACCCCTCAGGTTTAAAAGCACTCAAAATACTACTGGGGAAGAGCTTCCTTCTCAAGGTAGATTTGACCTAAAAAAAAAAAAAATGGATGGAGTAAAGCTTTTGGGACCTTCATTTGCTGATTCAGGAAGATTCAAAATAAGAAGAAACAGTGCATACTTCTACTAATAATCAGAACATAGAATGTATAAAGCATGAACCTAGGAAAATTGGAAGTTGTAAAAAATGAAATGGGAGGCATAAAGATCAATATTCTAGGTATTAATAAGCTGAAAGGAGCTCAGGTGGCATAGTGCCTATGGCATTTGACTGCTAACCAGAAGGCTGGCAGTTCAAACCTACCAGCCACTCCTTGGAAAGAAGATTGGGCAATTTTCTGCTTCAGAAACCCAAAGAGGGTTTGCTATAAGTTGGAACTGACTCAATGGCAATGAGCTAGTAAGCTGAAATGGACTAGTATTGCCATTTTGAATCAGACAATCATATGGTGTACTATGCCAGGAATGACATCACATTCACAATCAAAAAGAACATTTCAAGGTATATCCTAAAGTAAGTGCTGTCAGTGATAAGATAATATCCATACACATACAAGGAAGACCAGTTAATAGGACTATTATTCAAATTTATACACCAACCACTAATGCCAAAGATGACAAAATTGAAAATTTTGATGATGTTCTGAAGACTGAAATTGTGTAAACATGAAATCAATATGTACTGGTAATTACTGGTGATTACAATCACCAACTATAAGTTGGAAACAAAGAAGAAGGATTGGTAATTAGAAAATATGGCCTTGGTTCTAGGAACAATGCCAGAGAATGAATGATAAACATTTGCAAGACCAATGTCCTATGAACTGAAAATATCTTTTTTCAACCACACTAATGTCAACTATACATTTATAGACCTTGCCAAATGGAATACACAGAAATCAAATTGACAACATCTGCAGAAAGAAACCATGTGGAAGATCAGTGTTATCAGTCAAAACAAGGTCAGGACCCAAAGGTTTAACAGATAATCTATTGTTCATATGCAAGCTTAGGGTGAAGCTGAAGAAAATTAAAACAAGCCCATGAGAGCTAATATATGACCTTGAATATATCTTAACTGAATTTGGAGACATGGCATAAATACACTATCAAACATAACTAATGATACACAAGTCAGAAGAAAAAATAGATGACTGGGACCTACTAAAAATTAGACACTATATGTATCAAAAGATTTCACCAGAAGAGTAAAAAAAAGAACCCACAGACTGAGAAAAATATTTTGCTAACAATATAATGAACAAAGTGCTAATCTCTAAAATTTATAAAAGACATCAACATCTCAAAAAGAAAGAAAAAAACTAATCAAATTAAAATATTGGCAGTGGACATGAACAGACACTTCATCAAAGAAAACATTCAGGCATCTAACAGACATATGAAGAAACCCTCATGATCATTAGCCATTCCAAACCAAAGCAAACTCAATGCTGTCAAGTCAGATCTGACTCATAGTGACCCTTCCTTGGGTTTTCGAGGCAGCATCACTATGGAAGTAGATTGTCCAAACTTCCTTCCAAGGAGTGGCTGGTGGGTCATTAGAGAGATGTGAAACAAAACAACACTGAGATATCATCTCACCGCAGCACTTATAGCAAAGTTAAAAGAAAAAAAAAGAAAACAACAAATACTGGTGAGGGTATGGAGAGACTAGAACCTTCATACACTGCTGATGGGACTGTTAAGTGGTGCAACCAAAGTGGAAAACGATATGGCACTTCCTTAAAAAGTTGGAAACAGAAATATAAGATCCAGCAATCTCACAATTAGGAATATATCATAGAGAAATAGAGCTATGACCAAACAAATATATGCACACCCATGTTCATTGCAGCACTATTCACAATAGCAAAAAGAAAGAATCCAAATGTCCACCAACATTGTTATTGTTGTTTTTATGTGCCATCGAGTCGGATTCGACTCATAGCAGCCCCTCCTTGGGTTTCTGAGGCAGTATCATTACGGAAATAGATTGCCCCATCTTCCTTCCAAGGAGTGACTGGTGGGTTTGAACTGCCAGCCTTCTGGTTAGCAGTCAACTGCCTCAGGCACTATGCTACCAGAGCATAGTAAACAAGTGGCAATGTTTTATAAAGAAATTTAATTAGTAGTGTGACAATGTATAAAAATTAAGTGAAGTTCCATAATATTAAGTAAAAAATGTTGTTGTTGTTATATGCCATCAAGTTGTCTCCAACTCATAGCAACACCTCCTTGCGTTTCTGAGGCAGTATCACTGTGGAAGTAGATTGCCCAATCTTCCTTCCGAGGAGTGGCTAATGGATTTGAACCGCCAACCTTCTGGTTAGCAGTCAAGTGCCTTAGGCACTACGTCACCAGAGCAATACTTTATTAAAAGCAATACTTTATTTAAAATAGTATGAGTACAACTATTTTTTAAAAATGTCATGCTTAAGGAAAAGTTTAGAAGGAAATAAATATGTTTTCTTTGATTTTACCTAGGTGATGGAAGTATGGATACCTTCCAGCTTAAGTATCTAGTGGTTGATCATATTATTCACAAAAGTAGAAAATACAGGTGGCCAAATAAATTTGATAGAAAAGGGCTGAGTTCCATTTTGAAAATACAATTTTGAACTAAATAATCTGCTCAAATATCAAAATAAGAAAATACTGTTTCAGTGTTTGAATCTACATATATGCATATATCAAGACAATCAAAGCTAATAAAACATATGTCTAATACACCAGAATAAAAATAAGCAGAAAATACGACTCATATTAGTCCAATAGAGGGTGGTGAAGGAGCAGCGATAAACACCAAGGGCAGAAAGAGTACCAAATGCATGATGAAAAATTTAAAACCATACTTGTAAATGGACCAAGAGTAACAACCAACAATGTTATATATTATTAAGATACTCACAGTATTAACATAACCCCAAATTCAATCTATCGTAAATAATCTTACTCCTTTTTGTTACTGGGAAGTTCAAAGACTTTATCTGTGATTCTGCCTTTGGATCAAATTATCATCTTTTGACTAAGTTTTTAAAATGCACAATCACCACAATTACTTTCTAATACAAATCTTGAGTCTGGTTTTTCACGTTTTAAGGATCACCAGTATGAAGAGGAGCTGGTTGTTTTGTGTTTGTGTGTGTGTGTGTGTGTGTGTGTGTTTAAATTTTTGTTATTTGGGTGGAAGTTTACAGAGCAAATTCATTTTCCATACAGTAGTTCATACACATTTTGTCTCATTCCACTGGCTGCAATTCGCCACCATGAAACAGCTCTCTTCCCACTTCCTCCCCACAGTTACCTCTTCCCTGTGTTCTTCCCTCCCATGCACTCTTACCTCCTGAGCTGTCTCCCTGTGTAAACACTGCATTTCTATTCTATCTTTGTTTATTGCTCCACGGAGTGTATCTGATATAATGTTTCACCCCATATGCCTGTCTATTGTTTGGCTGGAAGCCACAGGAATGACTTCAATTCCAGACCTGAAGTGTGGCTAGGGGCCATAGTCTCAGGGGTCTCACCAGGCTCTATCAGACCAGCAAACCAGGTCTTATTTTTTTTTATCATTTTGAGTTTTGTTCCACATTGTTCTCCCACTTTATCCAGGATTTCCTGCACCAATCCCCCTCCCCATGGTTGAAAGTGGTAGCCAGGCACCATCTAGTTCTCCTGGTCTCATGGTCATATCAGCTGAGGATCTCATGGTCTACCAGTCCCTTGGACTAATTGTTTCAATGAGTCTTTGGTTTCCTATGTTCTTTTCACTCCAGATGAGGAGAGACCCATCGTTGAATCTAGATGGCCACTTGCAAGCTCTTAAGATGCCAGGCACTACTCACTAAAGTAGGATGTGGAACAATGTTTTTGTATAGTATGGTATTCCAATTGAGCTTGATTTCCCCTGAGACCATGGTTCTGAGCCCACAGGTCCAATTACTTGCTCCCTCCAGCTAGCTGTCTGTGGCAAAAAAAGCCACCACAACCTTGCCCCTTGTCAGCTCTACTATACACCTGGACATTCTTACAGCACATACAATAGGCATGTAGAAACATTGTCTGCTACCCCTATACATGGTCATGGGCACACTCCTCCCTGCCTGGACATACCTGGACATTCAGCCTGTCTACTCATCTATCCACCAGTAGACCAATGCTTGCCATTACTGACAAAGCAGTACTATAAATGCAAA